GCCCTAGCTTCTGTAGATGATGGACTACAGGTGTAAGATAAAGTAAAGCCTTTCCTGCCCAAGTTGCCTTTGGTCATGGTATTTTTATCACAGCAATAGAAACCCTAACTAAGATACAAATTAAGCTCAGGTAAATATTACCATGAAAACTCTATTACCTTGTTTTCCCTACCCACTGGAGAGACGACAAGGACTGTGTCCTGTTCGTGGAACCTTAGCCAGTGAGAACCTAGAGAAGCCCGAGACAGACATTGGGCTCTTTGGGGCTGACTGGGTACTAACTGTGGCCTGGGGTCCCTAATAGGATTGAATGTGTCTTCACATTGCAAGGCAGTCTGGGGATTTTCCTAGGTAGATGTTGAAGGTCAAGCAGTGACAAGACAGCCTGTTTGAAGTCCCTCATTTTATTTTTTTAAGTAAATTTCTATTCGTGCCATCTATGCACATATTCTGACTGTAAGTGCAGTCACTTGAGATTTATCAAGTTCTGAAGCTGTAGTTAAAGACTCAATCAGTGTTTGGGTTTGTTGTTTGTTTTAATTCTATTTACAAGTGAAGGTTTAGTTCTGCTCTATGTCATTTTAAACATCAAAATTCTGACTGCCTTTTTCAGCGTTACTCCATGGTAGCTTTCAGAAGACATGTGCAGAATTCAGTGTTTTTAATAATTTCAATGAGATCAGCGACTTATTTACTTCCATCAAATTATTTTAACTGATACATTAAATACACAATTTTGCATATTAATGAGGTATGATGATATTCCATAAATTTATTATCCATTGTATAATTTTTAAATCAGGATAAAGTTCTCTCCTCAAAAATTATTTCTTGATGTTGAAAACTTTCAATCTCCTTTCTAACCTCTGAAACATACATATGTTATCAGTACTCATGCTGCTACAGAGTAGACACTGAAGCCCTCCACTCCTATTGAACACTGACTTGGCATTGTTTAATAAACCTTTCCACAACCCACTTCCCTCTACTCTCTATAGTCTATAGTCTTTATTGTGCTCCCAACTTCTGCGAGACTGGCTGTTTTAGATTTTACTTAGGATGAGTATCATTTCTATCTTATTTCTCTTAACATCTAACCTCTAATTCCATCCATGATGTTGTAATGCAATGTCAGTTTTAATGGCTAAATAATATTCCACTGTGTGTATATGTAAGCCTTCTCTTCGCCCACCCATCTCTAGATGGACATTTAGTTTGTTACCGTTTGTCGGTGTTGGTGAACAGTTGGTGATGTAATCAGTAAGTGTAGATGTTGCTCTGACACACTGCTTTCATTTCCTTTAGATATAGTGTGATTATTAGGTTGTGATAGCTCTCTTTTTGTTGTTGTTGTTGTTTTCTTGAATCTTACTATATATAGCCCAGGCTGGTCTCAACATTTTAGTTCTCCTGCCTCAGGCTCCCAAGTGCTGAGATTATAAATGCTAGACTATTACTTTTAACTTTAAAAAGAACCTCCATAATGTTTTTCATTGTGGCTGTCAAAATTCATTCTTTTTGCTGGGCATAGTGGTACAGACCTTCAACCCCTGTGCCTGGGAGGCCCAGTAATTATGAATTTGAGGCCAGCCTGGGGCTATGTAGTGAGACCCTGTTTCCCAAAAACAAAAGATTCATCCATTTATCCTTTCTTGTCAAATGTGGAGTTGAGCCTAAGGCCTTGTGCATGCCAAGTTGTCACCTCTTCTCTCCTCAGAACCCTTTAAGGGAACAATTTATAAAGCAGGATTTATTTAATCCTTCCCTTTTCAAGCTAATGGGGTTTTTACCTCCACTAGTTCTCCGTGTGCTAATTAGACTAATCCAGAGGCACCTTTTGCTCTGCATAACAGCCGTGGTACAAAGAGTCACACTGCAAAATAACAAGAACTTGGTAATTAGGTTGCAAGAGGATGGGCAGAGCAAATGAAGGGAAGCAGTATGGCACATGGAAGGGATGGGAGGTGTTTGGAGGCCACTTAGGGTGTTGAAGGTTCTGACTTTGTTATCTGGCAGATCTCAGTTCAAAATGCAGCCCTGCCCGGACTTACCGTGTGTCATTGCACAGAAGTTAAGTGCTCCTAAGACAGTTTCCTAATCTGTACAATGAGAGTACAGTGCTGTACCTGTTTATTGAGTGAGACAGAAAGCAGAACACGGCACGCACAGCATGCAACACTTAGCAAATTGGCACCTATTAATGCTCAGTACTCAGGCTGTTTAGACCATTATCAGTCCTTTCTGAGTGTTTAGGAGTGAAGTCTCTATTGTTTTTGGATATTTGTTCTTAAACATGTAGGGGTCACATTTTTAAGATCTTTGGGGGACGGCGGGGGAAGGTGTCACTGAACACAGATTCGTGTGAATGTCTACTACTGAGCTGTATTCCCACTTCAGACTTTGTGAATTCTAAAAAGTTAATCTTTGATCTAAAATTTTCTATACCTTCCCCGGCCGCGGCCGCAGCCCCACCCCCCCGTCTGAAATCTTCAGTTCCCTCTCAGGCACCTTTCTCCGTCTTCATCTAATTCTGAGAAGCCTTGCTATTTAGGTAAACTTTAACTTGAACTTTGCATTGTAGAGGAGTCATCATCCTCGCAGTCCTCACTTGAATTTGAGACCCTCTTACCCTTCCTGGAATCTGAACTCTAGAAGGTCCTGTACTGTAATATGCAGCCCAACAGGAAGATCCTGGTTCCCCACCTGCTTCCCTCCATGGGAAACTTTTGTTATTATAAATATGGATGATTGTCAAGCATCATACTTTAAATAGCTTTTAGAAGTACAGATCATGGATCTTCTCCATCGACAATATATAAATAAATAAAATCTACTTTTAATTCTAAGTAGTCCCTGAATTAACCAATAACCCATATGTTTCTTCTAATCAGAACAAGTCCACACCCAACGTGGCCTCATCAGAACCAAATACGGTCAGGGGTCATATGGGCCCAGACTTGGATTGAAATGCAGTGTTTAGAAAATCTGTTGGTCCATGTGCTTGTCCCTGCTGTGTTTGCACAAAGATACCAGGAGCATCCCAAACCATAGCCCTTTTCTACTTTTCCAGTTGTCATTCATGGTGTGACTTATAATTATTGCACCCAAGACTCTGAATTTTAGGCAAATGTTCTACCTCTGACTAGTTTTGCCTAGCCTTTCATCCTGTTGTTCAGTAGCCAGCATCTTCTATCCTGCCGTTGATACCAGTCACCTTGTGCTCTGGGATGGTATCTTGGGCACTGATCATACGACATTTCAGAGAACATGTAGTCTTACCTACTCTGTCTATGGTTACCAGTTCTCTGTCAGTCAGAGGCCTGGGAGATGGGAGCCAATGGGTGTACCTGTCTAGTAAGTACCTCAATTTAACTAAGAGAAGAAGAGAAGATAGATAAATGGAGATACAGAGAGGCTTGAGAGAAGAAAAGCAGAGCTTTGTGTGACATCTCTGGCAGAGCAGGGGACAGGGCCAGGTGAATTTATAGTTAGAAACCAGTGCCTTTAGTTCGTAGAATGTAGACATAGCATGTGAGTTTACTTGGCCCTAAAAGCTATGAATCATGGGTTGGAAGAATGAGATCTCAGGCAGGTTTTAGATTAAGCAATACCAGTATTCCTAGCTCAAGTTCAGCTCTTAGGAAGTAGAATTTCCTCACTCTTTGTTAATTTTTTCCAGATATTCTCCTTCTGAAAGAGTCTCTTTAGATGAAGTAGTATTTGAGTAACAACTTAGCAGGGACCCTGAACAGAGGGAGGTAGGTAAAGGACCAGGAGAAAGAGTTACTGAGTTCCCAGCTTCTTAAGATGTTGTGGAATTAGCATGCCCATTGCAGAAACTAGGCACAGATCATGTTGTCTATGGTGGGCATCTGAAATTCCTGGCAAGATAAATGAGAGTTGTATATTTCAACTGTTCACATTTTCTGCTATGGAGTTTAATTTTTCTTTCATATGCCTTACATTTTTGTCTGTATTAGTAAATGCCTGACATCAATATTTGAAATCTCTGTTGAGTGTCTAGCAAGTATTTAGGTTTTTATATGTTTAAACTGTTGTGTAAGTGCTATTCTTGGCTTAATATGTTTATTACTTAGAAAATATGAAGGAGAATCCTCCCTGTGCCTGCTGCACATTGGCTATGAGGACACTTTGGGTCCTCCTCACTGTCATTGGGCTGAGCCCTTTAACTTCCTCAAAAGTCTTGTGTGGGGCCTAGGGTCAGAGAGCTGTGGTGTTCATCCACCAGCTAGCTCACAGAGCAGTATCTGGTGTGTATACTTCAGACACTCTTCCTAGGTGGCTGCTGACTGGAGAGCCAAGCCTGAGAAAGCTCTAGCTGCAGGCTTTACAAGATGCCCTCTTGGGAAGGTTTCCAACTGCCACAGCATTCTCACAGGGGTTAAATTTCACAAGGTCAGCCAGAGTGAAGCAGCGTGCAGTGAATCTCATCCAGATGTCTCCATGAAGCCACAGACCTAGCTTAGAAGTTTGAGGCTCTGGGGGAAGCTCTAACTTTTTTACGTTTTAAAAGTAATCTCCTTTTAAAGAGTACTCTAAATAATCAGCTACTTTCAATCAAATATTCTTCAGACTCTGAAGGCTTTTCAAAAGCCTAGTGATTTCTAAATTACTGTATATTAGGATGACAGTATCATGTGACCTCATGCAAGTTAATTTTGAGTCTCAGGAAATGTTTTCCTTAAAATGTGTGAATAAATTGATTATCCATAAATTCATCCACATTTTCAGATATTGCTGAGTAAAATTCTATTATGTAATATTGAGAGTTTTTTGGGGTTTTTTTTTTTTTGTTTTGTTGGTTTGTCTTAAAATAAATAGATTTTTTTCACCTGTAAGTTAGATTTTACATCAGAATAGCTCAGGATAATCCATGTTTAATTTTGCTGTCTTTATTTTTATTTGTTAGCTTGCATAGCCTCTCAGTGATGTTTGATCCCTTACTTCAGCTCTGACACTCTCTGGTGTTTGTTTTGCAGCAGTCTCTGGTCCCAGCGCACCCCATGGCCCCACCCAGTCCTAGCACCACCAGCAGTAATAACAACAGTAGCAGCAGTAGCAACTCAGGATGGGATCAGCTGAGCAAGACAAACCTCTACATCCGAGGCCTGCCCCCCAACACCACGGATCAAGACCTGGTGAAGCTCTGCCAACCGTGAGTATAGTTGCTCTGAGAGCCTTAGCTGCTGAGACTTCCTTGGTCATAGCCATAGAGGATGTAGCTTGTGTTGAAGGAGAGGAGCATAAGCTAAACATACATGAAAATACATGAGACCCTACATGTGCAACTCTTAGTAACTTTCTTGGTATTCGCAGATGCTACCAGAATGCCTACATACAAATGAAATTTACATTTCCTTGATTTGTTATTTGAGAAATAAAATATGAATTTAAGAAAAATTGATGGCTAGATTCTTTTTAAGAGTACTCATCTTTCATAGAAGCCTGCAAGGAGCCAGTCAGTCCCGTAGGAGAAACCAGCTGATGTTATTGGTCAGAAACGTAATTATCAAGCTAAGCTCATCTTGAGTGTGTATAAATTCTTGGTTCCTGCTGGGATGGTGTCCCTCTGGTTTCATGAGCACCAGGAGCTCCGTGGTGCAGATCACTCGCTCTTTTCTCATTGGAAATAAGACCACCTGCACTTCCTGCATCTTAAGAGAAGGATGCGTGTGCATCAGGTCTCATAGTAAATTTGCATTTCATACTAATGTTGATGAATAGAATATAAATGTGTTATTCCCTTGCAATTACATTATGTCAGCTAAGTAACGGAGTTCTAATTTAAACTAAGGAGCCAGAACTACCTTTGAGAGCAAAGATCATTGTGGGAAGAGTAGAAACATCAAATCACATCGAGCAGGAAATGCTTACACATAACAGCACTTTGTATTTATCCTAGGACAGTAATGGTCTTTTATAAAAAGAAATTTTGCATAACCGCATTGAGCCTTCTGCTAGAGAATGTTACCTCTTCCCTTCAAAATGACTTGCCTGACAGCATCTCATTTCTCTTGCTCTGGGTAAAGCTCAGATTCATTACTCATTTTTTTTTTTTAAGGAAAAAAATATATTGAAGACTGAGGAGCAGTATTTCTAAACTGGGGCTAAAGCTAACATCTGGCCTTGGTTTGCTTTGTTTTGAGAAGCAGGATGGGGCAGTGGGTGCTGTTCCTCCAGGCTCTCTTGGGCTGTGTAAAAGGCCATCCCCATCCCACTAAGCTTCTCATGCCTTTTCTTTATCGCCCTCTCTGCCCAGTCCTCCTGGACTCTGGGACAGTGAAATTATGTCCCCACTAGAGTCTGATCTGCAAGGAAGTCCAGCTCTTGGACGGTTATCAGCTCTGGCTGGAGACAATGGGAACTCTGCCAGGCTTACCTGCTCTGCTGCAGCCATTAAGACCACGACAAAGTCTTTGCTATCTTGTCTGCTACTGGCCTTTCATTGGCGTCTTCTGATGCTTCTGCAGCAGAATGCCGGGTAGACTGAGTGCCATAGAGTCTAAGGAGCTAAAAATAAGCTGTAGGAACAAGGGGGTGAAGCAAATTCTCGCAGTCTTGAGGTATAAGAGGAGAGGATTTCAGGAGACTGTTCCTCAGCTGGTTTTACATAAGGGTTGATGTCAAGGAGACAGGAACCATAACTAGTAGATCCATGCCATGCTTTATAAACAGGAAAAGTGCTTGAAAAATAGGGCCAGTGTGTGTGGGCTTTTTTTTTTTAAGTGAACCAAATCATTTTCTAAAAATAATAGAAGAATGCAGTATCATTTTTCCTAGACCATGAATTCTACTTTGGTTTTTAGTCTCTTTGGTGTGTGTAGGTTTTCTTAACGTGTGTAACCATTACTCTCTTCACTGTTACTGTTGGTAGCAGCGGCCATCCTCACCCTGTCTTGTCGTTTACAAATGAAGGCTCTTGTAACATCCTGGGTTGGGTATTAAATGCTGGTGATAGTTCTGGTGGCTTTATCTATGGAGGCAAGTCACAGCCCCGCTAAGAGATGCTGTCCCACGACCCGTAGTAAGCTTCGTTTGACTTCACACAGGAATTGAGTAAAGGGGCGTTTGTGCTCTGATTTGTTTCTCATAAAGAATAAGTAATTGGTGACTCGGAAGTGATGTGAACTTTAGGGAAGTGACTTACTCTAGGACCTGGGAAGTCCTTGGAGCGTAGACAACAGAGCAGGAAGGGTAGATCGACCCATACCTCTGAAAAGGGGAACAGCATCTTAGAAGTACAAACTTAACACTGATTGTAAGATGACCTCGGGTGGGGAGGTGGCAACAGTTTGAAGTAAACGATTTGGTTCTTCTGAAGCTTGGATCTGCTCTAGTTGTCCGAGAAATGGAAACGGATGCCAAGAATATTTGTTCCATACAAAATGTGCATGGAGCTTAAAAGCAAGGATGATGGAAGATTTTACGTACTGGAGAGGAAAGAGGAAGGCTTTTGTCTGTTCGTTTATGCTTTTTGAAGTATAACATGAGAAGGTTTGAAGGTTAGGAAAAATGACAGTGAGAACATTGGGAGTTGTGATGTTAACAGTTATGGCAATAAATGTCAGCCTCCCAACTCCAGAGATCATGACCCCAGGTGATGGAGACCACCATTGTCAGAAAGAAAGGGTTAGATGGGAAGGCAGCGAGTTTAGGGAACTGAAGCAAGGAGGGCCTGCTTGGGCACGGTGGTCATGGTCAGGTGATGCCGACTGTGAGTAGATTACATTTACAGGCGTACTTTAGGAAAGATACCAGCAAGCTGTAGGTAACCTCTAAATTCTAAAGTGTGGGTGGAAATACAGGAAGCTTTTAACTGTCTCAGGCAGTGGTAGATTTTCTACATTTCTACAAGCCAATCTACTCAAAAACACGACATCAGTGTGGAGACACAGCATGTTTAGGAGATAAAGTGGTCCAGGTAGCATAAAGGACCACTCTGGTACACTGGGGCCACATAACAGTATTAATACTCCCCATTTTCTCAAACCAAACCAATCGGATATGTTTGAGTGTATAAATAAGTATAAATACACACATACACACACACAGACCAGAAATCAATAAAGTAGTTCTTTCCTTCCTAGTTCTGAGCTGAATTCATAAAATGCCAAGGGCTCTCCTTGCTTCTGCGTCTTGCCTCCTCACCGTTTGGGTTGTCAGCTGCTGCCACCCGGCCCTTCTCTTCTGGGTCATGTTGCCACTATTGCCCCACTCTCCTATTTAAGGTTTAAGTCTTGGCCCCTTCATTCTGTGCGCCTGGCTGTTACTCTCGTAGGACAGTACTCCACTCTCCCACTTACCACACGTTTTTCATTCCAGTTTCTTATTTGAGCCCCTGGTTCACTGTGACCTGTCCAATTGATTTGCTCCAGTGCAAAGCTTTGGCGCTATTCCTGATGACCTCCCATTGTCCCTTGCTCTTCAAGTAGGTCCTTCCTTCTCACTGGGTAACATTGGTCATTTCCTTCCTTGCTCCCTGTGGTGTGACCGGGAAAGAACATTTCCCGATTCCCATCTCACCTAAAATATCTCATCACTCCCCGCCCCACCCCACCCCCAATTCTATGAGGCCATGGCCAAGGCTGCCTGTCTCCTTTATGCTTGGACCGTGCGAACAGTGCTGCACTTTCTTTATTATGGCTCACTGCTCATGGTCGGTATTTTACTCCTGTGCCATCCTGCTGTCTTACGTGCCTGTTATTTAACAGCATGTCTCAATGCTAAGTGTCATATCTCTGCAGATTTCTCACCTAGCTTATAAAAGCAGTGATAGTCAGGGCTGCAAGCTTTAGAAACCCCGATGCCGTCTACTCCTACAGGGCTAGGCAAATATCTGGTGTTTCAGTCCATAGCCTGCAAAGTAGGTCAAATAGTGCTTTCAGTACAAGGTTGTTACTGAAACAAATGAAGTCCAGGTTATATATCCTCTATTAGTGTGCTTGGAGCAAGAAGTATTTTATGTTTCAGGCTTTCGAAATATTTTTATGTGTACAATGAGATACCTTGAGGAAGAGATCCAAGTCTACACACAAAATTTAGTTATGTTTTCTATAAACATGTAACTTCATATATTTTCAGTGTGCCTGCATTTTGGCTATGACCTACCACATACAGTTAGATGTGGGATTTTCTACTGTGGTATCACATCAGTGTTTTAGATTTTGGCCCACGTCATAGTTTGCATTCTTTGGAGTAGCCAAAGAACTTGTAACAGGAAGACTGGTGATCCAGTCCCTGGAATACCAAGCAAATATTAATCCTCCTTTTTGTCCGAATCCTGTTAGAGAAAGATTTAATTATATGTAATTTTACATTAAGAAATAAAAAAACAAAAAAGAACCCCACCAGATCCTAATTTTGAAAGCTGTAGAAGCCAAGGAAGGAGTTTGTATAAACACACCCTAAGCCTCCTGTTCCTTCAGGCTTTTGTTGGGGTACGTGTAGAAGGCTGGTTTCAGGGTCATGCAACCCTCCTCATTCCTTCCTGGTTATTAATTTCACCATGGCATGAGAAATTTTCCATTTTTGTCCAGACTCAGATTTCTAAGACTTACAAACTGTATTTGAAGTAGGGTATATGGTTTTCCTTGTAAGCCCAGCATTTGGGAGGTAAAAGTATACATCCGTACCCGGGTTCAAGGTCCACCTGGACTAGAGCAAGATTGTCTCAAGCCAAGTAAACAAATAAATACAAACAGTGTGTGTGTGCACAGTTTGTTCCATAGAGCATCCTGACTTCCTGTAGGAACCCAGGCCAGCTGGCTGAGAGGTTGCTGCAGCTCTGATGTCCATTGCAAGGTCCAGGGAACTCGCTGTCTGCAGGAGCTATTTGAACTGAAGGACATTCTCTAGATTTTCAGACCTGTTCCTACCCTGCCATCCACCTCTTTCCTTTGTTTGATAGCACTTTAGTTTGTTTCAAATGTAGTAAAACAGCATGTTTTACCTAAGCGTGGAACTGTATCTATCTTCTGTTATGCCAGACTGTTACTAATTAGAAGGGCAGTCCTTGAAATATAGCCACTTAGACTGATCTTAATCCCCATTGTGTTTTGATTTCCTCTCTCTTTGTTTCCTGTTCTATGCAAGTTTTCCTGGTTATTTTGAATACATGACAGTTCTTTGAAAGTGAATTAGAAAGGCAAGACAGGC